TTTTTTTAAATATGAAATAGAAACAGTAAAATCACAGCTGGAGATTAAAAAAATAGGCTTTGATGTATGAAAAAAGAAAATGTTTTAAATACACCAGGGGCTGAACACAGCTTTTCTTACTTACGGTTCTGTAGAGATTTTCAAAAGATCAGAAAACCTAATTAAACATCTTTCAATGAATCCTCCTTATGAGTGACGCATGCTCCAGCTTGACCGTGTCATTCTGTCGACAGTCGTAAAAGTTAAACCAGCCCCTTGAATTTGATGGTTTATGTTCAGTTATTTCACAGACTCCCTGTCATGGATTTGAGTTTGTCTTCCGTACTCTAAATGAATCTTTATTTGCAACGTGTAGTTTTTGTAAGGTTCATGGCCTCTACAAGTCATAAGCGGTCCCCGTTCCAGCTCCTCACCCACCACTTGTGTCCCTTTCTTAAACAGTGCAGCTATTATCATTCACTAATCACCCATGTCAGTAAAACTGCTTCTAGTCTTTTCTTACTTTTGCTCAGATTCTCTGTATATACTGTTCTCATACTGTCATCTCACTTTAGGTACCAAGTGGGTTGCTGTTTTTGCCTTGGTGCCTTCTTTTTGCCTCCATTGTGTTTGTCTTTGGTTCGTTCTTCAACTAACTATTACTAAATGTGACCGTGCAATATACTTGAGCTAAACTGTTCATATCAGAGAAGGCTGCTCTGTGGGACATTCAGCACCTATCTACTTAATCTAAAGCTAAAATATTAACTGCTTTAATAAACTGCAACACCTTTATTAAAAGCAAAATAATTCAATTTTGTATGTTGAAGCAAGGGGCGCCACGGTGGCTCAGTTGATAGAGCTGTTGCCGCTCAGCGAGAAGGTCACTGGTTGAAATCCCAGCCCGGGACCTTTTTGGGTGAAGTTTGCGAGTTCTCTCCGTGCATGTGTGGATTTTTTCTCCGGGTACTCATGTTTCCTCCCACAGATAAAAAGCATGCATGTTAGGCTGATTGGTAAGTCTAAATTGTCTCTTGGTGTGAGAGAGTGAATGATTGTTTGTCTCTATTCGTCCCTGTGATGGACTTGCTGGGTGATAGCTGGACATGGACACTAGTGACCCCTGTGATCCAAAAATGAAGAAGCGGGTAAAAGATAATGGATGTAGTGTATGTATGGAGAGATGAATAGATGGCAGCACAATGGCTCAGTGGTTAGCACTGTTGCCTCTCAGCAAGAAGGTCCTGGGTTCAATTCCCGGTTGGACCCAGGGTCTTTCTGTGTGGAGTTTGCATGTTCTTCTCGTGCTTGCGTGGGTTTTCTCCAGGTATTCCGGTTTCCTCCCACAGAATAATAACATGCATGTTAGGCTGCCTTCAGTCCCAGGCCTCTCTTGCAAAAGAGATCTGTGATCTAAATGGGATTTTCCGGGTTAAATAAAGGTTAATAATAAAAAATGGATGGAAGGATGGTGAAGCAAGACTAACACATGTGTGCCGAAATGCTTCTAATCTCCTTCCTCCTTTTCACAGAATGGTTTTGTTTTCCCCAGGACAGCCAGGCAATCTTCAGTTCTTCATACAGTCTGACAGTTATTGTGTAGGATGTGTGGAAAAATACGCTCTGCACACTATCGTTGTGGTTCAGGAATGCTGCTGTGAGATGGAGTGCTGCTCAGCATCATCCAACAAGGTCATTTCTGCGATGACGACGACTTTCAGTGCCCGATAAAAGATCAGCTGCTGTGCCCAGGGGACACCTTCCCTGAACATGTTTGCCTCTTGGGTTTCTGTCTGGAACTTGTCTCCCAGGAAGATGGTCTGATTGTTCCAAGTGGCTACATACCACCACCTCTCATCCTGCCTTTAAGAAGAAGGATGATTCCCACAGTAGCTCAGCCCCCCCTCAGAGCTGCTGGTTCAGATAAGAAGGTGTTGTGGCTTTAGATCAGGAAGAAGCTTTTTATGGAGAGGATCTATGTTAAAGTTTTCTAAACGGTTCGAGTCAGCCAAGAAAACTACTGTAAGGTATTTCACTTGCTTTATTTTGTATTATATTAATCCCCAACTTTTGTGAACTACAGTATTAGGAAAAGGCAATCAGCAGAAATAAACAGAACCCGGCATGCATTGATTGTAAATTCCTACCTTTGAACCTGCTTCCTGATAAAAGTGAGGGTAAACAGAGGACAAGGTTTTACGCTCTGCCTGCTGAAGCAGGTTTAATATGCACCTCTGAATGCCTGGCAGACACAACCAAAACACAATATAACTTAAGTCTTGGTACTGTGCAAAATTATTGAGTTATTCCTCATTTCTTTACATTTTCCATCCAGAGGAGCCAGACTCCCTGGTAATATTCTATAATAGTCTTGAGCAATATTTACATTTGGACTTTAGCTGTTTTTAAGTCATTTTCAGCCTAATTCTGAACCATTTTAAGAGTTGCACTTGCACAATACTAACTCTGACCTATGATTCATTCAGGCATAAACAGGGCACCTATGTTTTGAAATGAACTGCTCAAGTCCACATATAGGAAATGAATTAACAGACTTCTCTGGTCCTGGTCCTATGTCAGGTCTTTGTTACATTATTCCTGCTTATTTAAAAACACAACTGTCAGACAATGGTTATCTTCCATGAATAGATTTTTGAATTTCGATGCTTTTAGAAATCCTAGTGAACATTAAAAGCACTTTAATAGACTTTAAGAAAATCTGGCTTCTTTGGAGGGGTTCAAAACCTTTGCACAATGCTGCTTAGCTGAGAAAAACTAACAGTGAAAGTTTTCTGCCTCGACCTGTTGATGGCAGCTCATGCAGAGATGCCATCTGTTTGAAAAAGTGGTTAATGCATGTACTGCTCGTGCACAATGTTTTTCTTGTTGACAAAGTGGAAAGTTTGGTTGTTCATAGGGTTTCGTGTCCCTTGAGGCCTCGTGAAAAGCCTGCGGCGGAGTGTGTATCTAAGAGCTGTAGAAGATAATTGCAGAGGGTTCTGATAGAGTTGTTTGTGTTCCTTGTACCTATTACCTTGATTAGGTTTGTGGTGTTTTCACCACACACAATGGTTGCCAAGGCTCTGAGGGACAAGGAAGTGCAATAACCATTGTTCATGCAGAATGGTAAATGGTCCACTCTGAAATAACACTTTAAATCTTATTCAGGTTCTACAAAGTGCTTTACCATGTGCTTATTCACTCATGGGTATGGTCATGGAGCATCCTTATTATAAATTGCTCTTTATGCAGTGACTTTTCCATCAGCCATATACTGATAAGCATATCTGAGACAATGTGGAGTTCAGTGTCGTGCCCAAGGGCAGGCTGAATCACTCACTGCAACAAGAACTGACAGGAGCTCTTGAAATGTAAGGTTTTGAGCATGTCAGCAAGTGGGTTTGCTCCTTAATATTATGCTGCACACTGATAAAGTTATAAAATAAATATATATGAAATATATATCATATATATATATATATATATATATATATATATATATATATATAGGTGTGTGTGTGTGTTGCACATCTCTGTGTGATAGACGATTCAATATGCATCTAGATACAAAGGTAATGATTCAACTCAAAAATTATATATTTTAAAAACAGAACGATTCAATACGATACGATTCGACTTTCGATTATACCATTTAAACATAGACGACAGCAGTGGCAAGTCCTGTTGCTCTTTCCACCAATGTACTGGGGTTTTTTCAGGGGTAAAGGATCACACTATCTGTACCTCTTGACTTCTTCATTGGTCTGGTCCCTTTCAAATCTAGCTGTCATCCTTACTTCAAAGTTTTTTCCCTCAACAGCTGGTCCAGGGCTGACATTGTCTTCTGTAGACTGTAGTTGATAGATTGCACTGCAATATGTATGTGCAAAGGCGTTTTAAACCCTTCCCACCTTCTTACAATATTCTAAACAATGTTTTTAAACTTTGAACGCTAAAAAAAGAGCACAACATGTCATGATCTCTGCTCTCTGCCTTTCTGCCACATGCCAGGGCTCCCGGCCACGCCCACTTCTCCGCTGCAAAGTGGAGATCATGACAGGCTGCAGGAGGGAGCTTGTCCCTGTGCGCTGCACACTGGTGCTAAATAACTTAAAATAATTTATTTTAAATAAAGAATCCATGCTTATTGTGCGGCTCATTCATCAATCAGTCAGTTGTGTGTCACGTCCAATCTTATTTTGAAAAACCGTGAAAGTTGAATCTTGAAGTAGCGAGGGACTACTATATATAATATACTGTAAAGCTACATGAGGCTTGTTGGAAGATGACTCTTGTGTGAACTACACGTTCACCAAGACTTATCACAAAAGAGCTCTTAATTACAGACATTTGTTAAAACAGCATGACATTTTATATTCTATGAAGAATTGCATGAATGAAATGTTGTTTCAACGTACCTGGTGCGTATTGTAGATTTTAGCGAGTACGTTTTTTCATTATCAGCACATCAAGTTTAAAGCTAATGAAAAGATAATTGTATTAAACCAGATATTTACTGTTGTTTCTGTATGAATTGATCGTCTTTGGGTCATGCTAGCCATTATCCAGCAAAGGCTAGTTATCTTACTCTGCACCAAACATGACAAAAACCAACATGTATTCATGGGGAAAGACCACTTGCAAACATTTTATGTATTCTTAAGATTTGCACGTTTGCATTTTCATAAACTGTTATCACGTTTGGAGATTGAGATGTGACAATGAGACAATGCTTTAAACACATCCTGAGTTTTGAATTGTGTTCACATGCTGTCTACTAACATGACTCCTGCTCTGCCTGGCATGCTCTGGCACTTAAGGTGCATGCTTAAATCAGCTCGTGACATCTATGATTGAACTCTTTATGATGATTGACGAGCCCCAGAGTGGCAGGATCTTTCACAAAGCAACTATGTCAGTGTTCATTTAGATTTCCTTCATTTGCACTTTTGCATGTCACTTTTTACACATCTGCCACCAGCAGATCAAACATAAACAAAATGTCTTTTTTTTATTTGCAGGGATTTAATGCCCAAGTCATCAGAAGGTCAGCTGACGATGGAAAAAACTCCCAGCTACTTTGTCACGAGGGAAGTCCCTGCTCGGATCTACACCATGTCCAAAGACACCAAACTGATCGTTGTTGTCCGGGATCCAGTCACGAGGGCCATCTCGGACTACACCCAGACGCGCTCCAAGAAGCCGGACATCCCTCCCTTTGAGAGCCTCACTTTTAAAAACATGTCAGCAGGTCTGATTGACACCACATGGAGCGCCGTTCAAATCGGCCTGTATGCCAAGCACCTCGAGCGCTGGCTGCAGTTCTTCCCCATGGAGCAGCTGCTGTTTGTTAGCGGAGAGCGTCTCATTACCGACCCCGCGGGTGAGATGGCTCGCGTCCAGGACTTTCTCGGACTCAGGAAGGTTGTCACGGAGAAGTATTTCCACTTTAACCCAGCCAAAGGCTTCCCCTGCCTTAAGAGACCCGAGGGGATAAGCAAGCCACACTGCTTGGGAAAAACCAAAGGCAGGACTCACCCTAATATTGACCCGGAGGTGGTGCAGAGTCTGAGGGACTTCTATAAACCCTTTAACAGGAAGTTTTACAAGATGACAGGTCAAGACTTCGGCTGGGATTAACAGAGAAAAATATTTACAGACTCATGCTGGTCTTTTGTCTGTGTTTTTATTTTTTTATCATCTCATCACCTGAGATAGTGTAATGTACAGTTTTTTAGTGGCGTGTAAAAAAACTCAGAAGTCTATTTTATGATTATTTATTGTTAAAATATTGAGTCACAAAACTGCCCAGTTTGTTTTTAAAGCTTTTTCTTTCATAATTATTTTTCTAGAAGTGCCACGCCTTTAAAAAAAAAAAAAATCTTTACAGGTGTCATTGAGCAGCGTCTGTGTTTATCTGGAATTCTTTTGGCTTTTGCTTCACCTCAGACTGAATGAAATTCAGCCCCATAACAAACTGGTAATATCCCCTTAACATTTGCCTGACCCTCAGAGGACCGTGCACCCACTTAGTCAGGTCGATGGCAGCCTCAGCTGATCCCGTGCAGGTGGATCAATACAGTAATAGCTCCTCATCATGTCAATTAGTCCTGACTGATGGCATGGCCTTGATCTCTTGAGCGTCTCAATAAAACATTTATCCATCAATGGTGCAATGTTTATGGCTGAGCCTTAAGCCAAACTCAAGTTAATATAAAAATATAATTACTGCTGGAGTTTTCTGACTTAACTAGTATTTATACCGTTGATCCAAGGGGGGAGTTGGTCACAACACCAGGATGATATTATCAGTTTTCCTTCATATAGGTGCTGCTCGAGCTTCATAATCCCTGTAGAGAAAACAATTTTATAAAAAAGTCACATGACTGAGTCACACTTATTGATTTGAAGTAAAATTGCTCGCATAGATCACTCCGCGCAGTTATTTTTTACGGCTGTTGATGCTATGTGTGTTCAATTCACCTGCTCCAGCAATATGTCACTGAATGTGTCTCTTTTTGAACTTTTCACCTGGACAGAATTAAAATCATCCCAGTTCAGCTTTAGTTAATGGTTGAGTTTTATTCAGCCTTTATAAACAATCTTTTATCAGCGTTTTTATCGTCGCTCAGCATCACAATGAGCTACAACCCCTCAGCGGAGGCTCTGTTTTTGCCGTTTGCGTTGATTTGCAGTACAGACGTTACAATGAAGCAGTTCTGAGTGAGATCCAAGTGAAATGCTGCAGTTGTGTTTCCACCAAGTTGGAAATAAATCTGTTTTTCCAGAGTGCTTTTGTCTTTTGTATTTATTGCTTGAAAATAGCATAAATGTGCCACATTTGCTGAATAAGCTGCACTTGTGTCACTACCTGTTTGGATTTTTGGCTTTCTGCAGCAGGAGGCAGCCTGCTCTGTTTAATGAGCCATCTTGCACATTATTGTGTTAATTAGCACAGCAATATTAACGACTTTTAGCTGTTTCAGCCTCCCACCTCCTCCACTGAGCGTGTTGTCATGAATCCAGCAAACACATGTTAAAGTGGCAGGTTTCTCATCTGCGGAGGACTATCAGATTATAGGTGCTTGTTTATCTCCCTTGGTAGTGCACTTTTAATCGTTTGTCAGGCTTAAATTCTAAAAATCATTAAAAAGCTGATTTTGCTGCTGAGTATAACATTTATTTTTTTAATTTCGCAGTTATTTATTGCCCACTTTGTATTATGATTCGTTATCTTTTATGAAGGTGCTGTTTGTTGTCACTTAACTTGTTTTTCAAACTGTCTGTTCCATTATTCATGTTTCACAGGCAGCAGCAGAAAAAGAAGTGATGCCTTGAGAGAAAGAGATGAATCAACCCACTCTATTAACAAACAACCTTTATTTAACTCCATGGCGAAACACCTTCATTTACCTGCGGCTGCCAGAGGTGATGAAACCAGTTTCCCTGGTGGCAGGCCGGCTGTCTGATCACCCAGGAAGCAGCTCCCTTTGCAATTAATGTGGATGGAGGAGGAGTGCTGTAATTGCCAAGCTCCCAGCTGGGAATTCACTGTTAGCATACATCCCTGTAGGCTGTTGTAAGGGAGGCTGCGCTTCTTTGAAGGTTTGAAAGACAAGAAAAATAGACACCTGGCATTGTGGAGAATCGAGTACCTTCAAACATGCACTTGACAGCTACTGCAGGGGGAATAAAATCAGAGGTTCTGGTAAAAAAAAGGGAAGGAAAATTAAATGTCTCACGTCCAGCAGGGCGTTTGGTTCTGAAAACAGAAGTACAGGATTTTTAGGTTTGGGTGGAAGCAATAGGATGAATTGTTGCCTCATTAAAACATCAATAAAAAATGTCTTAGTGTGCCAACATGTAAACTATGCAAAAATTGGGTAAAATATTCAGAATCAAAATAAGCTTTATTATCATTGTACCAAAATAGATTGAGATTATGTTCATAGTTGGCTGAAAGATGGGCAGAGTGCACGTTGCTGCTGATCCTGAGAGCGCGGCCCCTTATTCTTTTTAGATAGAAAAAGGGAAAAGTCCATGAGGAGATGATAGTGGTATTAAAAAAAAGATCTCTTCACATCTTGTGCTTATCAGGACACGATTTAATACATCAAAAAATCTCTACCAGCAAGCACATTTATAACATATTACATACGCATTTGACGACAAGACGGTGAGATTTGTCCATGAAGCACTTCCAGATAGACCATAGTCCTGATAAGATGTTGGTGTTAGCTGGTACAGCTCTGATATGCATTCACAGAAGTTCTTATGGGAGGTAGGTTGGGGTGCAATAGACAGAGCTTTTCTTTAATTTACACATATCCCTGGAGAAATTTGATGTTGGCCTGCTTCGAGGCCAAATGGGAGAGTCAGATTCAGATAAGCTGCAATTGTTGATTTTTTTTTTCAGGTAGACTGTTATTTTTCGTCAGCCTTGAGTTCTGCTGTTACTTTGGATCCAAAATGGCCAGATTTGTAGGCATTTCACTGGGTCGTGCTTATTAGTTCCCTCCAAGGCCATTCCCAACATGCTGGCGAGTCCCAGAAGCTGCAGGTGGCCTACGATTCTCACAAATTGCTTCCATCTTACAGTTTAGCTCATAAATCAGCTGATTTTGAGTACTCGAAGCACGAACCAAACTTTCACACAGACTCGGCAGTTTTGCCATGGCTGAAACTGCTGCCGCCGCCTTCTTCAATAGCCAATAACAGGTATCCGCCAGTGCCAAAAAGCAGAAACCCTGCTATCATGATTCCAGTTATATAAACATCTTCGCTGAGACAATACGGAAAGGTACACCATCTTCCAAATGCCCCATGGATCCACGTGCATCTCAGCGGGGCATGAGGGCTCTCCAGGACCCTGTCACTTTGTTGAAAATATTTTATCGATTACGTTGAAAGTCCAGCTGACCAGATCCATGACAGTAGTTTTTCGTTTCGAAAGATGGGTAAATAGGAACTCCGATACACAAAACAGAGAGAGGAGGAGGACGGGAGAGGGAAGAATCCATCTTGCACAAGAGCGAGTGAGGAAAAAACAATCATTCTATGCCTGCAGAAACAACCGCAAAACATTCACTTACTTTAAACCTGACTGGATTGTGAATCGTTTCTGCTTTTAAATATGCAATTCAGGTACTGATCCTTTATAACCTCTTGTTAACTCACATAAACAATAGAACAAGCAAACTAGGTTTGAGAGGAGAAAATCAAAACGACTACCTGGATTCATGGTAAACATAAAGTACATATGCAGTATAGCTGTACCCTGGTCTGAGCAGATTATCCATATTTGACTACAATCATCAGGCGACCAGCTAACATTGAGCAACAGGTAATTCATACTGTAAGAATTACTGGTCAGACTATCTGTTACTGCATTGTATATATATTTTACATTTTTCTATCTGTAAAAATAACATTTATTCAAATTTTGAATTTCAATTATTGGCCTAACCATCATGCATCATTTCACTCCTGTTGAGACATCCTGTAAGGTTTGTAACAAGTTTCTGTTCACAAGGGGCTGAATTTTATTTTATTTATTTATTTATTTATTTATTTATTTATTTATTTATTTATTT